GTTATTATATATTTATAAAGATTTGTTTTATTTAACAATTATATATATGTGAACAATCAGTGAATGTAACGATCATTTATTCACTATTGGTTTTATAATTTAATCTATTGTATTTATTCTTATAATTGACAGAATGTGGGTTTATAATTCTTATCGACTAACTCAATATTTTCAACGGATTATTAATATGGACCATAAATTGCGACTGCTAAATATTGTATAAATGAATATTAACTAATTAAATTACAAGAGAAAAGGAATTATACTGTTACGGCATTAATACATGAAAAATCTACGACCATGATTATGTTAGCGTAACTATAATTATATGTATCCCCAACCGTTACAGAAAATTAATTTATTGCGTTTAATTTTCCAAACATTGTAAACACTGAAGATGGCTTGACAAAAAGGTCAGAAAGTTTGAATAATTTTAAATATATTAAAATTTGGCTCATAACTCTTAGTGTTGATTAATGTTTATTTATTGTATTTTTATTGAGTCATAATATTATTTTATTTAATAATGTATACTTTATGATAAAATATAAAATAGATACACATAAATTTTACGCTCATACTTACTCTTGTAATACATGTGAACGAATCGAAGGAAGCACAGCGGAATAATTGCTAATATCAATGTAACGAGGAATAGGAACTGAAACTATAAAAAATAAGATTAAATTAAAGATTATTACATGTACCATTATGTAAACATTTAATTAGAGTTGTGATTTGTTTTAACTTACAATATAAACTATGTTAGCCATCAGTACTAACTTTGGAAGAATAGAAACAGATAACCATGATCCGTCAAGGGAAAAAAAATTTGATACAATTTTCCTTCTGTTTTCATTATCAACCACACGTACCTAAAACAGAAAATAATTTTATTTGCAGAAAGAGTGTATATGTATATATACACTCTTTATATATATATATATAAACGAGGTCTGGCTATTAAATAACGAGACTGCTTATGAAAGAGTTTTATTTTAAAAATTATTCTACAATTGAATGCTCCCCTTCAATGTACTCCCCTCCCCTCGCCAACACACCGTTCCATTCGTTTTTTTCATTGATCAAAGCAATGCTGGAAGTCTTCTTTTGTAAGAGCATTTAGGAGCTCCGCCGATTTTCGCTTCACCTTTTCCATCGACTCGAACCGGGTTCCTTTTAAGACAGATTTGATCTTCGGAAACAGGAAAAAGTCACAGGGTGCTAAATCAGGCGAGTACGGCGCGTGTTCGAGCACTGGAGTGCCTCTAGCGGCACAGACAACGCGTTATGGGCAGGTGCGTTGTCCTGGTGTAAGATCCACGACTTGTTTTTCCACAACTCCGGCCATTTCTTACGAACTCGCTCTCGCAGTGTTGCCAAAACTGTCAAATAGTAAGTTTGGTTTACAGTTTGACTCTCTGGAACCCATTCAGTCATCACGATGCCGTTGATGTCGAAAAAAACGATTAGCATGGCTTTAAATTTTGATTTCGACATCCTTGCTTTTTTCATTCTTGGCGATGCAGGAGTTTTCCAGTACATGGATTGCCGCTTAGTTTCAACATCGTATTGGAATATCCATCGCAAGTGATGATGTTTTCCATCAATTCAGGCTCTTCATCTAACCTCTCAAGAAAATCTGAGCAGATCTGTTGACGGACGAGCTTTTGGTCAGGGGTCAAATTTTTTGGGACCAACTTCGCACAGACTTTCTTCATGTTTAATTCGTCATGTAAAATT